TCTCTCTCTCTCTCTCTCTCTCTCTCTCTCTCTCTCTCTCTCTCTCTCAATATATTAATATTAATAATTTTTCGTTGCATATTTCCATAAAAATACGTATATTTCATCGTAATCTGATCTAAAAGAAGAAAGACTGATATGTAAAAACGGATTTCTTGAAAGATACAAAAATTCCACAGATCCCGTCGTCGTTAGCGGGAGCGATGAACAACGTAAACACCTAATTGAACAGAAATTATTACAAAAGATAACGTCTCATATCTTACGTGTGTACGCTTCCAACACTGACTCACGTTACGAATATGTAGGTGAACCATCGTTCTGGAGATTTTCTAGGAGTCGTTTCGCGCCGCGCGTTTTCCAGCTACCAATGAATTCCGGAGTCCTTGTACAATTAGTTATCACCAAAGCCACTGAACACCAGCTCGATCGCTGCTTGCACATCGCCATTGGTGAACTGCAGCGCCTGTACGTTCAGTACATCGTCTTGGAGGCCCATTTCGTGCATCTGCGCCAGTTGTCTCTGCAGATCGTTGGCCTGCGAAGAAATCGTCGGCACCGAAGCCGTCGGGGAAGACGTAACCTGTGTCGCCGGATTGGCGGTCGTCAGCGCGACTTGCCTCATCGCTTCCATGAACATTTGAGACGTGACCACGCCGGTGCTCTGGTTACTAACTGGTACTTGATTAGTAACACCACCTCCACCAGCACTGGTCGATGTAGAGGATGATGAGTCTGATTGTTGCGACGATGCCTGGGAGTTGTTGGAGGGTGATTCGGGGTACTGCAGACTGTCGGCCAGGGGATGAGTGGAGAAGAAATTGGCGATGTCGCGTGCCATCTCCTCCTCCAGAGTCAGGTTATCCATGCTGTAAGAACGTGCAGTAGCCGAACTAGTGGAGCCGCTGGCCGCGTTATGTGCTTCCTCGTGCACAGCCGCTGCGATGTTCTGCGCCGCCTCGATCAAAACAGGATGCTGTTCCGCGATCCTGACGAACAAAACAATTTCAATTAATCCTGACACGATGAACAAGTATTTTCGACGCCTTAATAGCAAGGCCACACATATGTTTAACGCATTTTTTGTCTTAAAAATTGACTTTTCCTACTTAATAATGTCGAAAAATTCTGAAAAAAATTGATGTAATTTCTTTCAAGCGTCAACTAATAGATTACGAGATTAATTTTAAATAAACAATAGAGTTGCACGTAATTTTTAAATTGTTTCTTGAATAAGAATTCATGAAAAGTTTATTCGTTTAAAAAATTATAACCTTTATCATTTTTTTTAATAGAAACAGCTTTAAGGTTTTATATTTAAAACCGTAACAATTAATAAAAAAAGTAGTTAATTACATCTTGAAAAAAAAATCAAATTATTTCGTCATGTGAGAATGACGTATTTTTTTTAGTAGAAAATAAGACTAAGTAATAAAAAAAACATTTTTATGCATTATATAAAAGTAAAAAAAGAAATAAGAAACATAAAGATGCATAAAAAGAAACATACATTAGCGAAAATTTTGTTAATGCTTTCCATGCTTATTAATTTAACGATTTCGTCAAAAGTTAAGAAAATATGATAGAAATACATCAAGATAACTTGAAAAAAATATTTAAATATATAAAGAAAAACAAATTTTATCGCTACTGAATCCTTAATATACTAATTCTTCTTTGAAATATATATAAAACCTAAAAAATTTTGAGATAAGGAAAAATGCAAAGTTATTAAAAATGCCCGGACACAGAAAAGATCTTCCTTCTATATTTATTTTAAGGATTAAAATTATTTCTTATACTTAAAGTTGCTAAATAATATATATGTATCTATCTGGAAAGAGTTAATTTAAAATTCTGATTTAAAATTCTGTTTATTATTAGAATATCATGCAAATTAGGATCATACTGTTAATTACCTTTTCACAGTTTCAATATCTTGTAAGTGTGTCATTAAATCAGGATCCTGCAGCATAGAAAGAGCAACAGGATCCTTGTGCAATCCTGGGGAAGATGAAATAATATTCTCTATCACATCTGGCTTTTTACTCAAGCGCTGAAACATGAAAACACCTATTTTTTTCATTTGCTAATTAATATTTAATAATACAAAATCATAAAGTAGAAATAATCAATAAACAAAACTATGTTACTGATGTTAAAGGCAATACAGCTAAGGTAATTACATGTAGAGCGCTTCTAAATGTAGAAGTCTCATTGAAAGACTTGAATGCTGATGTGAGCTGTAGGATGCTTTCTTCTGATATATGTTTAAATGGCACTGGTGATTCACATTCCTTCTTCTTTAACATATACACCATTGATCCATCCTTTAGTCCACTAGACTCCACAGTAGCATCATCCTCTAGTATAAGTCCACAGTAAATAAGTTCTGTCACAAAATATAATATCTATTAGCATTATACACTTAGGTTAATCACATATATTCGATGTTACAATTACTCAAACTTATATCTACCTAGAAAAATGTTATAGAAAATCTTAGACTTTAATTAGTAGTTAAGTAAAATCTCAATCACAAGATTACTTAATAGATCTTTTAACAAACTTATATTTTATCTTTTCTTAATAGAGAAATTCAAAATAATACCATAATTTATATTAAACTTTCTAATGACATTTTTTTCTAATGGGATTTTCGCCAAAATAATGAATTCATTTCCAAGAGTGTGTTAAGATTAATATCGAGCAACAAAGACTCTAACAAAGACTAATCTTCAAATAACGCCAAGTCATTTTACCCAGTGAATCCTTAGGTAGGTTACATTCTTCCTCAGCTCTTCGCTTCAACTCCTTCACTTTGGTCTTCAAGTTTACATCGTTCAGAGTGACAGTCAACACTGTTTCTGAATTTATTTGTACTCCGCAGAGTAACTCCATAGCTGGCATTTATGAATTCATGAGTAATCCCGCACTAATTGACGTTTCCAACTCGACGTCTTACGTACGATATTTTTAGTCTTCGCTTCTCGACTAATAATGAATTTCTCAAACCCAAAATCCACACCTCTCCGCTATATTTGGACGCTTCGTTTCTCGTTTTCACCAGCAATGTAATACAAGTCAGCCCGTAAAAATTGCCATCTTGTAAACACAACTGCTCGCACAGGAATGGCCGACCGTCAATCGCCGAATTGAGTTTGAATTTATTTCATAGTTGAATTGTCGAAGTATCGATTATATTCTAAATATTTCCACACATTGTTTACAATCTATGCTGCTGCAATTTGTCATTATTAAGAAAATAGTGTATTTCATTTACAATTCAATTAGACTTACAAAGCAAAGTTTTCTGACCTATTATTGATTCGTACTACTTGAAAATAGTTTTGCTTAGCGCCATCTAGCGATATTCAGGAAAAAGTAGTTGATCGCAAGTTAGGTTTGAGTCTCGGCTAAATATGATTCGAATATTTAGTTCCAAAGTGTCCGCTACGAGCCGCTACTTTCTTTAATGAAAAATTCAAGCCATAACAGTCAATAATGTGGGACTGAAGTATATTTCTATTTTTTTTAGTAATATACTGTTCCAAGATGTCCTGTTAGCTGTTTATTTTGTCCTTTATTAATAACATTTATTCTAACAAGGAGAGAAATAAAAATATCTCATCTATTTTGATGAGTTTTAGAGCTACAAAAAATATTATATCCATACGTTTTACATACCTTCTGTATAAAAAGTACCGGGAATCGTTAAAAAAAACACAGAATATTTTATTTATTTATCAAAATTTATTTTGTCGCCTTCAAAGTAATCCCCATCGTTTGCAATGTACATGTGAAAACGGCGAAACCAATCTTCCATGCTTGTTTCGACGTTTAGAAGTGTTTTAATTTTAAAACTGTTATTAAAAAATAATGAATTTTTTAGTTTTTAGTGAATATCTTCGAAAGTACGAGACAGGCGTTTGCGCCTATCAAATTATCAGGCAAATAGCTGTCATCGCGTTAGTTAGGTCACGAAAAAAAAATATAGAAAAAATCTGTCTCTCCCTGTCTCTTCCTGCCTCTCTTGTCTCTCCCTGTCTCTCCCTGTCTCTCCCTGTCTCTCCCTGTTTCTTCCTGTTTCTCCCTGTCTCTCCCTGTCTCTCCCTGTCTCTCCCTGTCTCTCTTTGTCTCTCCCTGTCTCTCCCTATAATTATTAATTAATCAAAGTATATTTTAATTTAATTTAATTTTTATTTTATTTTTATTTTACCTTTTTTATTGTTTTTTATTAGCTATATGGCGCGCGCGTAGCGCGCGTATATATTGTTCTAGTTTTATATAAAACGCGCTTTGATATATGTTCTAAACATTGGTGAGAGCTTATCGTTGTGGGGCGGTCTTTGATGTCTGGAGTTTTACGTTTCACTGGGCGTACGATTATTATCGGCACTTCGACTCTCGCGTAATTCATCGTTGAACGATACACTTGTCGCGGACCCGTTCGCCGTGAGATTTCCTCATCGTACCTCCAAGATGGATAAGAACGGTTTCCTTTTGATCCTGCTATTTATTCTCGACGCCGTGTGTGTCGACGTGATAATGTCGTTCAGTTCGAGAAGTTGCAACGACGCCGAAAGTCAATCGAGCATGCTTCAACTGAAGAGACACCTTCTCTGCGAGTATGACATGGACGTAAGACCGGTGCAAAACAACAATAATGTGACGCGCGTGAAATTGCATATAATTCCGCAATTCTTAGAATATGTAAGTACGTTGATTTGATCAGAGAATGAATTCTCTGACAACTACACAGGCGAATTAATATTTTCTTCTTCTCGTTTCAACAATCGCGGTTAAATAAGCGAAGATCATTTTATGAATTATTCGAGCCTACAATGAATTTACTAGCAAATAAGGGATATTCTGATTCAAAAAATTGCAAAAAGGATACTGTTTTTTAAATTATTTTTTGTAGAGAAACGAAAAAATCGAATAACGTCAAACTTCTAATATTCCTTTAACTTTATTATGAATATATTTTTATCGTCTAAATGACAAAAAACACTCTTTTGTATATTTTATATAATTTATTTATATAACCTATTATATATATATTATATTCTGGTGTCTAGGAGCTCGCAAAAAAAAGTATGTAGATGATATAAGTAATTATAGCTCTTCTATATATTTTAAACGCGAAAACAAAAAATTTTCTTATTCAAGAAAAATGTGACTTATCATAGAATTTTTCAATAAAATGATCGCCATTTTTTTCAGAATGGTAATATTGGTTTGGTTTTAATTTACTTAGACAATAAAAATATATATTTAAAATATGGCTTAAAGAATATGCAATTTTGACGTTATTCGGTCTTTTTGTTTCCTTCCAAAAAATTCCGGAAAAAATATATTTTTTGTAATTTCTCAAACCAAAATACTTCTTTAAAGAAATTCGTAGCGAATAAAATGCGAAGAGAATTTTTGCTTAAGAAAGAGTATCCTCTCTAAAAGAAGCCTTCTTTTCTCTCTCTGTCTCTCCCTATCTCTCCCTGCCTCTTCCCGTCTCTCCCGTCTCTCCCCGTCTCTCCCGTCTCTCCCCGTCTCTCCCTTAATTAAAGCTGCAATTTGTTTCATAGGATAATCAGGAAGAACACTTCGACGTGCATACGTGGACGTCTATGGTACGTTTGAATATGAACGATCGAAGTAAGTGATCCGTCGATCAGTTGTGTGATCGACGGATAATTTCTAAGTACTTCTGAATAATAATTGACACCGTTTATTTATCGTAAAAGTTCAACGTAATATTTCATTCTTGTAAAATGTGCTTTTGGGGGAACAGACGTGGGACGACTCGCATTTGACATGGGATCCCGCTCAGTTCAACGACATCCAGTTTATGTTTGTGTCCACCTACGAAATTTGGGTGCCGGACATTTATCTGCATAACGTGTAAGCGACGTCTACGTAACTCTGTGTGACCAAATCAATATTTCGCAATCGATCATTCATAAATCTTCTTTAATTAATATCTCTATCGGTGCTTCCATGAGAGAGCTTTAAGGGTTGTTCTGAGACATCCTGTATATATGACCATGATAGATAAAATGAAGTTAACCATGAAGATAAAATTTATAAATATAATTTATGTATGTGTATATAGTTATATACAGGGTGTCCCAGAATAACCTTCGAAGCTCTCTTAGAGGCATAGTACAGATTGATGAACATAAGAATCCTATACCATTTTGCGATATTCGCAATAATTATTAAGATAATAATTAAAGGGGATTAGTGAATGATTACGTGTAACATGATAAATGTATACTTATACATTAGATCAAGCTGAACAAAAAAATACTCTACCATTTTGCAAATTACCGCATATATTTTTAGATATTAATTAAAGAAAATTTGTGCCATGCAACAGTTTCCTTTTGTAAATAATTAAAAATTTATATAGCTATTTGCAAAATGATAAAGAATTTTTTTTGTTCAATTTGACTTAATATATAAGCGCACAACATCACTACAGTTTATCTACCACATCGCGCATAATTATTCACTAATCTTCCTTAATTAATATCTCGAGATTTATTACGAATATCGCAAAACGATATGAGACTTTTATGTTCACCTCAATCCGTTCTACATTTTCGCGTTCGAGAACGGTGATCTGGTATGCCCAGATCTATTTCCTTTTCGGGACACTAATCAAGCGAATTTATGCATTTACGCTTATGTCCATCAGGGATTTAGAAGACACCATGTTCTCGGGTTCCACGCAGACGAAGTGTTGGGTCTGGAGGAAAGGAATGGTCCAGTGGTTAACGCCGGCGAAGTATTCCACACACTGCGTCGCAGATAACACGTGGTGGCCGTATAACACTATGAACTGTTCAATACAGTTCGGTTCGTGGTCGTATTCCAGCGACGAAATCGACCTCGTTCATTACTCCAATATGGTACACGTCCAATCTGTGTACACGTGCGATCACTTCTTTTTCTTCTTTTTCGCATCAAGAACAATTCGTTATTACTGCGTTGAATGCCGTGGTCATTGGCGATCAATCTTTATATTAACAAGACTTTTCGGTATCCCACACAGCAGAAATGTTTAAAATATATCATTGGGATATCCTAAAGATATCGCAACATCTCTAGGATATTTCCATAATGTATCTTGAACATTTCTGCTGTGTGGAATACAATTAAAGGAAGAGAAAGAAGGCCAATAAGAGCTGATTGCAGTTGTTGATATAAACATTTAAACTATGAGGGAGGATAATAATGTCTGACATATATAATAATGCAAGCGTAAAACATTTTTCGGACCTGCCACATACGTGGTCAATCAACCTTCCACATCAAACCAATTTTATTCTAATTATTAATAATCTATTGTATTCTAGTATTAATATTAATTAATCCTATGTCCCATCACAATTATTAAATTGTGTACTTTTTAAACAATTCTTTAATTATTTTAATTTTACATTTAATTAATAATTTTTAATTAATTAATTATTTAATCAATGCATATTTTGAATTTTATATTAATAATTAGGACGTATGGTCGGTTTAACATGCAAGATTGTTTTATTGTATACGTGGATGTTGTACTTTAAAGTATGAAAATATTAATTAAATTTTTCTTAATTTAATAATTGATTTTAATATAATTGATTTGAACTGAATTAAAATATATTTTAATTAACAATTAGTAATTAACAATTGATTCAAGCAAAATCAACCATACAATATTTAATTGATAATTTTATACAATTAAAAACGAATTCAATTAAAAACCACTGATTTTAACAAACTCAATTAAAAACCATTTAATTGACGTCTGATATAAACAAAGGGAATCAAAGATCGTCCAATTGACAATTAAACTTAGCAAATTTAATTAAAGGCCGTTTAATCGATTAATAATTGAACTTAGCAAATTTAATTAGGGGATGTTAAACGCATAGATAACCTGTTGTACTGTTCTGTATGTAAATGCAACACTCTATACATTGCAGGTCCAAGAAATGTTCGCTGTATGCGTTCTCATACTGTTAAACATTATTGTTCTTTCATAGTTTAAATATTATATATAAATATAAATCATGATTGTGAAACATCATACAATTGTTATGGTTTTCTTTTTCATGAACATGTAAATCGAATGGTGTTCTTTAAAGACGACGATCACGGATCTGCGCGAGTACCAGAAGAACGCCGAATGGGATTTGCTACAGTTTTACGTAACGAACCATGAGGAAAATCACAAATACAATTCGGACATCACTTCCAAATTGCTTACTTATCATTTCGTTCTGAAGAGGCACTGGGGTATCATACGCATTGCGTTTGTGTCACCCGCTATAGGTGTGTACTGTATGCATACATCGTCACACGCGTACGGCGTGTTGTTTGAAATTGCATAGATTGTCAATTAAGAAATGTTTAACGCGGTTCCATGATGCATCGGTTCGCTTTCCCGTTCACAGTGTTGATGACGATGACTTTGATAACTTTGTGGCTGGATCCGACATCCTTCGAGCGGATGATAATCGCCAATCTCAATTTAATCTGCCATTTTCTGTGCATACAAGACGTACATTGGGAAATGCCGAAGAACGGCTTCAACACTCCTAAAATACGTAAGTGTGAATGAGAACCGTGGCTACTTATATCAGAATAAATGTTTGATCCTCCATTGCCCTCGTCCAGCTGACAAACGTTAGTGTTTTCGTATAAGCGAAATGTCGCGCTTGTTATTGATTAAATTTGAGTGAAAATTTAATTATTATTGCATTAATATAATATATATAATATTGCAGCTTTATAAAAACAAGTGGATGTATTAAAACATTGATTTATTATCGATTGATCAGAGTAAAGCTTAAAGCGCGCGCTTAGATCCACTGTCTGCACAATTGTAGATTAGTTCGATCTGAAAAATGAAAATATTTTCTTGTAAAGAAATGTTATAGCTACAAACAAATGTTATAGCTCAAAAAGAATTTTTTAATTTATAAAAGTTCACAAAATTTAGATAACCTGAAAGAAAAAGCTAAGATTCTTCTACAAAATTTGTTCACTTTTTTGTTATTAAGAAAGAACAAAATAGAAAATTAAAAAAAGTCTTCGTAGAGAATTTTATTCAGGATACTTTTGTTAAAGTTTTATCCACACAAAAGTATTAAAAATTCTCTATGTTATCGTGCAAACACTGACAGGAAACAGCGTTTTGAGAAAAACGCGTTTAAGATTTTGAAATAAATACTTTTTAATATAACTTTTATAAATCGAACTTATAATATTACTCAGCTATTACGGAGTCATAAGAAGTACCTTTCTGAGCCTGATTTGCTATGCTTTGTTTTAGTCTGCCTACGAGCAGTTCTTAGTCTGTTGCCTTGATCTTAGACTGTATTTCAAAACATTTTTTTCAAGGAAAATTTTCCTCAGTATAGTTTTTTCTCTTGGGCTATGTCGAATTTTACACAATCCTTTAAAATCGATAGACCGTTTCATTTTCTCTGCGTTAGAATACATTTTCAACTAATCCGCATTATTCGAAGAACTATGAACTTTTCAATTTTCTACGATTTTCTCCGGACTGTTACTTTACTTTTCCTACCTGAAACGAACAAAAGCGAAACCTAAAAAAGGATAGTGTGACTAAATTCGATTACAAGGTTACAACAGACAACTGTTTATTGTCAATCTCACTGCGTAGAATGTGGTGGAGTACGTGACTTATGCGCACTTTCACATTTTTATACATATTACCGTTAATTTTGCGAATATTTTAGTGCGCTTTGAACTACACAGACTTTTGAAACTATATACAATTTAATGAGCTAATTAAAAAAATCAATTTTTTGACATGACAAAGATATATGCCCCGTATACAGGGTGTCCCGCGTAAGACGGATCAAAAGAAAAATATAAGTAGAACACATAAAAGTGAACAAAAATTTTATAAATTGTATATCATTTTTCAAACAACCACGTAAAATTTCGAGATATTAATTAAAATAGTTGGACAAATTAGAACGCGCGATGCGACAGGCGGGACATACGGCTCGCAGCGGTCGGCGAAGAAAATGGAAGAACGCACACGTACACGGACGCACACACGGAGCTATTCATTTCAGTATGCCAAACGGCTCACCTTTCTGGCCTATAAGATAGGCCCGTGAGCAATCATCCATTTTCTTCGCCAGCCGCGGCGAGCCGTATGTCCCACCTGCCGTGTCGCCGCGCTCTGATATGCTCAACTATTTTAATTAATATCTCGAAATTTTACGTGGTTGTTTGAAAAATGGCCTATATAATTTTTGTTCACTTTAATGTTCACTTTAATGTGTTCACTTTAATGTTCACTTTAATGTGTTCTACTTATATTTTTCTTTTGGTCCGTCTTACGCGAGACACCCTGTATATCAGAATTACGAGAAATTAATTATTTTTTAACCAATTATTGTGTTCAATTGATGATTGATATGAGAAAACTCACTTGAAGACCGTTCAATTGGAGTTTCAACAAATTTAATCAAAGACCGTTTGATTAATGATTGATTTCAATTAAAGACCGTTCAATTGATGATTGATATCAGCGGAGGGAATTAGAGGTCGTTCAATTAATAATTGAGATGAGCAAATTTAATTAAATTGAAATTAACAAATTTAATTAAAGACTGTTTGATTTTGTAGACCTCATCTTATTAGCTAAGAGTTAAATTAATAATAAAAGAACGAAAAATATAATTTTTATTAAAATTTTATTAAGTTATATTATAAAAAAATTATATTACTGTGTTAATCACTACATATATGAATAAAATGTAAGACGCTTATATCGATTGAAGAAGTGGCATAGTGTCTAAAGCAAAAGATTTATAATCTAGAGATGCCTTAGGGTCCAGGTTCTCGAGTCCCACCAGTGTCGGTGAGAATTTTTAAATGTGATGTAGCATTGGAATCAAGTAATATAAAGTTTTCAAATAAAATCAGCAAGCGCTGCGACCTTTACGAATAGTTATTAGAAAAAAAGTAGTACATATCATACATAAAAGAATGTTTTTTTCTACTTAGACGTGTCTAGATAGGGCCTACATAGGCGTGCCAGAACCCAGATAGCACAAAATCTTCAGAGAATGTTCTGGGACGTTCTTAGAATGTATAAATGTCCTTAGAACATCTTTAGAACGTCCTTTGAAGATTTGTGCTGTACGGGAATAGGGCCTCGTCAAATTTACAAATTTGACCCTGACTTACAAAAGCGTTACATCTCTGTACAGGGCCTATTCGGGTTTGCCTGAATGGCGCCTAGACAGAAATGGGGAAAAGCTCTCTAGGGCCTTTACAAGCCCTCTTTTAAATTCCTACCCGGAATCTCTGTCAGGACTCGGAGCTTACAGTCATTTAATGATCTTTAATTATTTACAGTCACCTTCTACGAGAGTTCCTTCGCGATGGCGTCGTTCGCGCTCATCCTCACGAATATCCTGCGACAATTGCAAGAGCTCACCTCTGCGCCGCCTGCATGGATCTCAACGGCTACAACATTCCTTTTACGTAGCCGTGTTGGTCAGATTCTCCTAGTTAGCATCTTGGATCCGGCCGCGACTGCCAAGATAGAAATCGACGCGGATGATAACACCGATCTCGTGCAGTCAAATAGCAAAAAATCGCCATGGAGCTATGTGACAGTGCTTATCGGTTGGTTAGCTTTCTTGAGCGTCCTTCTCAGTTATGTCGTACTATTAGCCATATGTATGCCGACCAGTTAAACTGTCGATACGTCATCAATGCTAAAACTATCAAGGGAGTCTGATTCGCGTTTGTAATTTCTTATAAACTTTACTAAAATTTCTAATAATGCGTTTTATATCATTAAGCGTTAAATAAAACTGAATAAACATTTTTTCCCTTGTATTGTGTGTTTTCTTCGAATGGATATCCTGTTAATCAAATATTTCATCTACTTCCAATTATAATATGACCAATTATAATCGCAGAATAAATCAGACGGCAAATCGTATAAACTTTATAATCGACAATTGCAAGTCGGGATCTTATTGTGTACGTATATATGTACATTAAATAGATTGAATTATGTAATATTCGGTCGTTATATATATATATATATATATATATATATATATATATATATATATATATATATATA